TTATTATTCTTTATTTCATCCATGAAGTTCACATTCACGAAAAATGAACAAGTCCAATATGCCTAACCATTCAATAAATAATACAAGGACAAACACGCGAAATAATTGATACTCGAACTTGAAAAATTCGAACAACATTCAGTTTTTCGATAAATGTGATGATTTTGCCTCGAAATTCAAGATGCGCCCACAAAATACGGCTCATTTCACCAAAAATATGGTTTTATTTCATTCGGCTATTTTTCAAAAATCATCGTAAATCATGTTAATTTCCATTATTATGCAATTTGTGATCGAACGAATGCTATTATTCTTCATAAAATGATGTTTATCAACAAGAAAAACCAAAATTATTTCCTGTTCAAATGGTTATCACATCAATCAATATGGCTTCCAATCGAAAATGAATCAGAAAGTTACTTTTGGAACTCGTCAGTTATGATAACCTATGTATTGGTAACTTCAACTGAATATAATTACCGAAAAGTTGTTTCAACTATGAAGGAATTGTTTGAGTAGGAATTACCAATATGTTACTTGAAATATCACCAAGAATTGACTAAATTATTAGGTGATCGATCAAGTAACGACAACGTCGTAGAAACCTAACCTAACCTTGGGGTGGTAAGCGTTACCGTAATAATATATCCAAAGTTCCGAAACCTTAAGAGTAGTTTTTGAGGAGTGACAGTTTCGAAATAGTTACTTCGTAATAAGCCATGAGAATTTCTCACTTTGAAGTTATTATCTAGTGTAAAAACTACGTAATTTTCACTCACTAAATAACTATCACTGACATTTATACTATGAAGTTCTAAAATAAGTGATAAATACGTTATTATCACTAAATATAGGTAATAGTTTCTTGAACCATGGTGCCTGTGACTGAAAATGCTAGTTGGGTAAGCTCCTATGAACTAAATATGTTGCCTAGCAACATACCTATTTTTGTGCCAGTAATAGAAATGTCAATTTAAGAGCTAATTTTGGTATCAAAATGGACGACTTTTGTGTCGGTTGCAGAAAAATATATTTTATTAACATTTACAATGAAATAACATGAATAATCAGACAGATATTCATATCTGGTATGAGATTATTCATGCGTTAATAAATCTGAGTTATTGAAATAAACAACAGATTCAAAAATCATAATAATAAAACAAAAAGCTCATGAAAAGTACATTATGACATGATGAAATAAATTAGTGAATGAGAAATCATTCACTCAGGTTTGATTTTCCCTCTGCAAGAGGATATGTTTCTTGACTTTAATTTTGAATTGGGTGATATTTGTGCAACTTTTGATATCATCAGGTAGTTTATTGAATTTTGAGATAGCTCCGTGAGTGAACTTTTTTTGGCCAAGTGTAGTAAATATGAAGTTAGATTTGAGGTGTTTGTTGATAATATCAAAAGGAATTTTGGGAGTATTTATCAGATAGTGCTCTTCCAAAGAAAATATATTTGTTTCTTCATAAAGTTGATTTGATGGGGTGTCATATGGAAGACGATACAGTACTTTTAATGCTTCTTTATCTAGTACAGATATTTTGTTAAAATTATTCTTGGAACATGAACCCCAAATATTTATGAGATAGTTCATTTTACTAAGGATGTGAGAATATAGAACGGTATTTGCTATTTTTAGGATAAGTTTTGGACATCTTAGGGAAACAACTATGGGAGAGTATTTTTTTGAGCATGTCAATATGCTTGTCCCATGTTAACTGCATCAATCCAAATATCAAGGTATTTGGTATGGTAGTTTGTTTCAATCTTTCATTTTTTATTCAAATATTCAAATCAATATTTTGTTCATTTCTTTGATGGAAAAGTATATATTGGGTCTCATTGGAATTAAGAGAAAGAAGGTTGGAGTATAGCCATTCTTCCATTTTCTTCAAATCCTGATTTATGTTGTTTTCAAAAATTACAGGGTTTTTGTCTTCAAATGAAAGAACAATGTCATTTGCATATATAGCATAGTTTACTATTGAATTTTTTTTTGAAATGATTTTAATGTATGAAAGATATAGAATTGGGCCCAACACTGATCCTTGGGGAACTCCTTTGTTTATATTATATAGTCTCATAGATTCACAATTATTGATTTTAGTACTGATACTCCTCTTTTCTAGATATGTTTTCAAGAGATTGTTTCCAATACCTTTGATGCCCATTGAATTAAGGTTTTTCAGGAGAATATTGTAGTCAACTGTGTCAAATGCTTTTTTTAGGTCCATAAAAATAGCTACTACAATTTCCTTTGTCAAGTCTATCTTGTATAAAATTGATTACTTGTAAAATTGCTGACATTTCAGTTATTGCATTAAATTTTTCTTCAATATTACATTTAGTGAGAATACATAGGTTTAAAAAAAAAAAAAGTTTAAAAGTGTTTTTAACCGCCAGCTTAGTTGCAAAGCAACCCTCGAAAGTCAGAGACTTGTGTGAGTTAAGAAGACGGGGACCTTAGCTTTTTAAGTGTCATCCGAAGCACTACTCGGCTGGTAACCGTGGACAGTCCAAAGGATTGATATCTAGGTACCAAGAATGTTGGGTTGGCCACCTATCTCCTCCCGCCCAACGAAACTACCGAAAATTAATTCAGTGCTCGCGCCGGGGATCGAACCCGGACCGCCTGGGCAACAGCCAGCGACTCTACGCTCACGGCCACCAGCCCAGCTATATACCCAGGTAATATACGAAATCGTCTAGGGTCAAACAATTGAAATAAATTCATTTTTCTACAAGCGTGCGTGATTCACCCTATACCCGCACGCAATTTAGTTTGGGAAGTGTCATTTTCCCGCAACAGTGCGGGAAAATTTTCCCACACTAGTGCGGGAATTTTTTTCCCGCACTAGTGCGGGAAAACAAAGATATGATAAAATCGCTAGTAATATAAGTGGTTGGTGATGGAATATAAAAGTTTAAGATTGTTTGTTGCAGTATTAAGTATGTATGTTCAGAATCATCCATCCAATTGCACTATTTATTGTAAAAATTAAGAAATATTGAGGAATAAAAATTGATTATAATAAAAATCCCCCTATAGATTTGGATTGATCTGACGGGAAACGTCAATTTGTCATGCCAATCAAACCTCAAATTAGTTTGAAATTGTCGAAATGACAGACACAGCGTTACTGTCATTTTTGATTCAGTGGAAATGCTACGATGTGATCAAAAACTTCTAGCTATAGGGATTTAATACAGATGCGTTATCACCAACGAAGTCTTAAGAAAGGTATGAGAAGCTATACACGCGTTTTATTGAATGGTGCAATGATAAAGAAATGAAAAAACCGAATGAAGAATAGGTATTTTTGGCTCATTTCATAGAAGTGTCTGGAACCTAGAGACCAAACTCCTAATGGGCCTGCTGGTTTCCGCAATGAACCAACATAATGCGTCAAACTGTAAGTTCACAATAGCTATTACTAATAATTAATAGATAGAGAATATATATCTCTTGTTAGTTGTTCCTATTTGCTTGAATAATTAATTGAACGATTCAATCGATTTCCTACGCTTGTAGAAAAAATATTGTTCCTAACTCATGCGGAAAGTTTCTTTCCGCACTTGTTAGGAAAATTACTATTTTCTACAAGCGTGCGTGATTCACCCTATACCCGCACGCAATTTAGTTAGGGAAGTGTCATTTTCCCGCAACAGTGCGGGAAAACAAAGAAATGATGAAATCGCTAGTAATATAAGTGGTTGGTGATGGAATATGAAAGTTTAAGATTGTTTGTTGCAGTATTAAGTATGTATGTTCAGAAGCATCCATCAAATTGCACTATTTATTGTTAAAATTAAGAAATATTGAGAAATAAAAATTGATTATTATAAAAATCCCCCTATAGATTTGGATTGATCTGACGGGAAACGTCAATTTGTCATGCCAATCAAACCTCAAATAAGTTTGAAATTGTCGAAGTGACAGACACAGCGTTACTGTCATTTTCGATTCAGTGGAAATGCTACGATGTGATCAAAAACTTCTAGCTATAGGGATTTAATACAGATGCGTTATCACCAACGAAGTCTTAAGAAAGGTATGAGAAGCTATACACGCGTTTTATTGAATGGTGCAACGATAAAGAAATGAAAAAACCGAATGAAGAATAGGTATTTTTGGCTCATTTCATAGAAGTGTCTGGAACCTAGAGACCAAACTCCTAATGGGCCTGCTGGCTTCCGCAATGAACCAACATAATGCGTCAAACTGTGAGTTCACAATAGCTATTACTAATAATTAATAGATAGAGAATATATATCTCTTGTTAGTTGTTTCTATTTGCTTGAATAATGAATTGAACGATTCAATCAATTTCCTACGCTTGTAGAAAAAATATTGTTCCTAACTCATGCGGAAAGTTTCTTTCCCGCACTCGAGTGCTTGCCCGAACTCCGCTTCGCGTCGTTCGTGTCAACGGCAGTCACGTGCGGGAAAAAATCACTTTCCGCACTTGTTAGGAAAATTACTATTTTTTCCAATAAATTGGAGAAAAAATCCAATATATTGGAAAAAAAAATCCAATATATTGGAAAAATAATCCAATGTATTGGAAAAAAGAATCCAACAAGAAATATTCTTGCTTTGTCCGATTGAACTTCGGAAAAAAAAACTTACTGAATCATCATCTTATTTTTTTTTTCTATTTACCTTTATGGTTGTGTCCAGATCTGGGAAAATACGCAACACAAGCTCTGCTTAGGCGTCTCCCAAGAACTGAACACCACCACTTATTTACTTATTTAGTTATTAATAATTTCTTTCGCAATTTAATGTAATAAGATACTATTTATTTACGATATGTAACATTAACAATATAAAAAAACATGTATGTATGTATCTGAATTGAATTGAATAAATTGATTGATTGATTGATTGATTGATTGATTGATAACGCCAACAGTACTAGAGATCAACCGATATTAGAAATTATCAGTAGGTATTATTATTCTCTATAACTCTAAGACAACTTTACCTGAATTGAAGTGTGTCCATGATTTGCAGGTCCCCATACATTCTGCGAAATTAGGAATGGGATCCTTGTTCGTACATTGTTCATGAGAATGAAACGAGATATTCAGCAGACCAATCGTATTTTCTAATGATACTTCCTCTGGGCTACATAGTGCTGCACAATGAAAACAATAATATCAGTAATAATAATGAAAATAATAATGATAAGTAATAATAATAATTGGGTGCTAATGATACTTCCTCTGGGCTACATAGTGCTGCACAATGAGAACAATAATATCAGTAATAATAATGAAAATAATAATGATAGGTAATAATAATAATTAGGTGAAGTTTAGAGGCTGTGGTTGAATGAAATACAAAAATGAACCTAAAATATAATGCCCACAATATTATTTAGAAAAGCCTAGGGCTGAGTAATGCTGGCTACGTTTTTGAAATTTTTGATACCAAGACATGCAATAGGGATTATTTCTTGGATACACCAGTTATCATTATCGAGATTGAAGTGGATTCCATAAAACATGCGCATTCAGGGCCTGTCATATATCTTACTGATTGCCAACAGCCAATATAATGATAATAGATTTAAAAATCAAGAAAATGAACAAGATGAATCAACGCATATTTGGAGCTGTGATTGTGGGAATGAAGATATGGAAGGCAGGTGCCATACTTGAAAGAATCATAAACTGGTGAACCTCACGATAAAAATGTCTTCTACATGTCTTCTAGTTTCAAAAAGTTTCGCTCTTCGTCAATTTGATTACATTTTTTGATAACTGTCAACAGTCATTCCACGTCATTCCTTGTAGTGAGATGGAATTAAAAGTAGCAACCGGAATCGGTGAAGTTGCAAATGAAACGACACATCAAAGTGATTCCCGTGGGTGAATCATAAATAACACGAAACTTTTTCAGTTGCTCTTTCATAATTTTCCCTGCTATAAAAATACATGTTTCTTGGAAATAATAGAGATTATTATTATTATTATTATTAACTTTCAACCAACGAAAATATAAAAACAGTTGTTAAACAACTCTCCTTTCGAGGAATTTCATTAGAAATTATTGTAGATCCAATGAAACCACAATAATTTCAAGTTGATAATATTTCAAGTGATGTAATAATGTCTTCTCTCTTTTTTATTTATATATTTTATTTATTGAAAATGTGACTTATAATAAACTCATAAATAATATAATATTTTAAAACATTAAGTATAAAATTTTGAATATCGTTCAGAAATGATCAAATTTTTTGAGTTGGTATTTGAATTTTATTGTATTTCTGCAATTTTTTATATTATCTGGTAATTTGTTATATTCGAAAAGAGCAGCGATATCAAGATGAAATAAACCATGTTGTCTAGTTTTGTATTCATGAATATAATTGTTTCATGTTGGAATAAAATTGGCTTTCAATATTTTATTCATGATATTGTATGAAATTTTCATATTTTCAATTTTGAACATTTCTTCTATTGAGAATGATTCAGTTATCTTATATAATTGACTTGTTGGTGTATCATATGGTAAACAGTGCAGTACTTTCAATGTCTTTTCATATAATGCAGATATTTTATTGAAATTGTTTTTTTAACAGTATCTCCAAACTTATCAAAAAGTTAATACGACTGAGCATATGAGAATATAGAATTATACTTGCAACTTTTTTATCCAGCTTGGGCTATCTTCTCATTAGTTTGTTTCAAAGATTCATTTTTGAATCTGAGATTTAAATTTATATTTCGTTTTTTTTTGTTGAAAAATCATATATTCAGTTTTATCAGTATTTATCGATAAAAGGTTTGAATGCAGCCATTTTCGAAAATTTCATCAAGCCTCTGTTTATTATATTTTCTAAAATGATAGGATTTTTATTTTCATATGAAAATACAATATCGTCTGCATAAATAGTGTAATTACTTTCTGTTTCAATTTTCGTGATATTTTGAATATATAATAAATATAAGATTGATCCTAAAACAGATTCTTGAGGGACACAACCTTTAGTCATCGGTAGTTTATGAGACTGTGAGTTAGTAGATTTAGTACTGATTGTCCTATTTTGAAGATACGAAGCTAAGAGGTTCCTTATCATGCCTCTGAGTCCCATTGGTTCTAAATTTTCCAAAAGTGTTATGTGGTCTACTGTTTCAAAATCTTTTTTGAGATCAACAAAAATTGCTAGCACATTATTTCCGGTATGAAGTTCTTTTTGTATTGCTTGTATTACTCGTAATATTGCCGCTTGTATTCCACTATTTTCTTGAAAACCAAATTGACTTATGTCAAAGCTATATTTTTTATTTATGAAATCTACAATGCGTTTTTTTAAAATCTTTTCAATGATTTTGGAAAAAATGCTCACCCAGTGCCCCAGAAGTGACGTTGCAGAACTGGCAGCAGCCCTTCTGGTAGACATTCTCTGCTGGGCAGTCTGCCACCGAAGGGCAGGTCTCCTGCTTGCTCACCACCGAAAACTGGTCACCCAACCGCTCGCAGGTGAACGTCGTGCAGTTGTCCTGCGACTGCCATATTTCCTCCGGCCTTTTCACCTCTCCATCTACGATGCACGCCACTGGCACGCAGTCGCCGCAACATGTCGTGTTCGATTCGCGGTATTCCTGACCCTGGAAGAACGGAACGGTATCACCCCGTACAAGATCTTACCGAATGAATAATAACCGTAACAATACCACATGAGAGACTACAGATATAGATGAATAGAACCCAGAAAGTGTAGCTGTCTAAGCACGAATTCGGAGTTCTGAGACGAAAAATCTTTGATGTTACAGACCATTTTATGCTGAACGCTACTTTTAACAAATTGGATAATTTTTAATTGTTTATTGAAAAACTAGCTTCCAGTCAGAAATGAAATTCTGGTATGAGGAAGTTGATTACAAACAACAATAATAAAATAATATAAGGTGACAACGACAAAAAAAATCTAAAAATGCTGAACCGATCAAGTCATAAAAATAGCCACAGGGACTAATCAGTAGATGGCAAAGTATCATATATGATAATATTATTATTGGCAGTATCGAAAGGGAATATTCTCAGATATATTATGAACACGAAAAAGATTGATATATTTATAAAGAAATACATTGAGAATTCGCCTTCTCTATGTGATGAAAATATTAATCCTCCCTCGGTATATTCAACAGAAAACAACTATATTCCTGGCTACGACGAATATTGAATTATATCTATTGAACACACACGATGAGAATTTGAAAATAACATATTTTAAAGTTGAGAATTTGCATTCACCTTCAGATAAAAATATATATGCACATATTACCATTCTGAATATTCAACAGAAAACAACTACATTCCTGAATTTTTGTCACGTCGAACATTGAATTATATCTTTTGAACATCCAGGAGGAGAACATGAGAGTAAAAATCTTCTGAAATTGAGAATTGACATTCTCTTTCAAATTGGATAAATAATATGATGTATAATGATATAAAAGTATAACTTACCAATAAATTCAGTATTGAAATGGAAATGTATAGGAGAAGTGTACTTCCAAAAATCATACGTATCAGTGATATGGGAATATTATCTCTCACAAACAGTTATATGACTTTATTCGAATGAACTCAGTAACCTGAAGTCCAGTTATTCTTTCAGCTATTCTACATGAAATACACAATTTTCATCTCTATAAAATAACTGAAACTATAACAAACTAACACCTGAGATTTATTATTTGTTGACATTCCACGCCTGTCATCTGGGTTTACTTTTGTTCTTGGATATATGACAAAAATGAGGAAGTTCCTTCCTGTTCAGTGTTGTCATGTCAAGGCAGGGACAAATTCAAAAAGAATTTTTGGGGAAGGGGACAGTAAGGGAATTTAGCTAACTCATTTTAAAATTTTCCAATTTTCATTTTAGACAAAAAATTTATGACACGAAAGACGACGCAGTTGTCATGTGTCTTATTTATTTACAATAGGATATTTTTCTATCAATATGAAATTTTGAAATTACCAGTTGATACTGGAAATACTGGGATACAAGGAATTTAATTTTCTATTAGCTACGGAGTCGAAAATTCAGAGTACGCAGTTACCCAGTAACGTACGCAGAGTACGCAATTGAAACTTGATATTTTCAACACCCGTAATTTCATTTCTTCGACTTAAAGCTTCAAATTATCTACTCGTCAGTCGAAAAGTTCGAGTTTGCAGATGGAAGTTCCTAGTTTAAACTGTAATGTAATTTTCCATCGTGATCAAACTTAGAAATTCCGACTACAAAATCGAAATTTTATGTCTTTGAAGTTGAAAATTCTTAGTTTGAAGTAGGAAATCCCTAGTTTGAAGTCAGAATAAATATTTACCATGGAACGTTTTTTTGTGAGACTCCCAAACTCAATTTGCCAACTCGCCTACCACTAATTCTTCGACATCATTGGCATACCGTAAAGTCGGAGATCCTCCAGTCAGGCGGAACTCAACAAGCTCAGTCAGTACATCTTTTTTGTCGACAACCTCGAAATATGTCGAAAAACTGTTTACCAAAACTATATTTTGTCTACAGAACGGCAAAACTTTGAAGTTCTTAGCTAAACGAAGTAATTCCAAGATAATCCCCAAAAGTTCAAAGAACATTCCAATACCTACCTTCTCTCCATATCCTTAGGTACGCACTATGTTCGTAAGTTCTCATCGAATTAACACAAAATACATAAGACTCTAGAGAGAGAGAGACTACGACTACATTTCGAATTCCACTGCCAGTACTGAATCTGCTGGTTTTCCATCCCAAAATCAACAAAATTCACTGAAAGTGACAAATCTCGGGGGCAGACTAACTATCCATTCAGACTTCAGATTTCTGCTGAAATTAGTGTCCACCAAAAGATAGTGTGGATGTAAATAATGAAGTGAAGTGAACATGTTATAGTAGGCTACATATCGTGATTAATTTATCAGATATTTGGTGTGAAGTTTTTGCTGAGACACAGATGATTTTCAGTCATTTGATATTCATTTCTAGATTTTTAGTCACTTTATATTCGTTTCCAACTAACCTTTGCGCAATCTTTTTTGCACGTTTGAACTGATTCCTGTTTTGATAGGTCGCCCTTTTCATTCTTCACGCATTTGAATGTTTTGCACTTGTCCCCATCTGGCGAGGGCCAAACTTGCCCCACCTGAGAAAAAAAAATTCCTTGAGTTCAAATCTATTTCGGATCTTCAATTGTAGAAAACTGATCCATAGTGAATATAAGAAAGCAACAATAACTACAATGATAACTACGAAATAGCCACAATGCTCAAAGTGGAATGAAATGTTGAATAAATACATAAAAGGTAGGTCATTTCCACAAAGGTTCATAAAATGAACAACAATGGTCGATGACGGGAGAAAAACAACTACTTTCCTGGGTAATGCCACGCAGAACAATGAATTAAATCCTCCCGAAATCTATGCATCGATACGTATAAACGAATACTAATGCAAGTGCTCTTTTTTCTAATGCCGATTGATTGATTGTCTTTATTACCCCAAGAAACATAGTTGTTTATAATAGGGATACATAAACAATATACATAATGTTATACATACAATTATGAAATTATAATAAGATATAACAAGTAAAATTGAAAAAAAAAAAAAAAAATGAAAATAATCATGCAATATCAACCTTGTCTTTTATAAGTAGGTATTCAAATAAGAAATGGAATTATCAAAGTCTCTGAAGCAGATATTTTTTCAATTTAACTTTGAATCTAGTTGCTTCCTGTATATTCCTCAATTGACTTGGTAATGAGTTGTATAGAACGATTCCTGTGTGAAAAATGGATTGTTTGCCGATATTTGACTTGAACGTATTTGCTATTAGTAAATTTGATTGTCTTGTTCCATGATTATGTAATGAATTGATTTCATTGAAATTTAAATTCGAAATTTTCAATTTATATAGGACAAATTGAATAAAACAACATATTTTAAGTTTATATAGTGAAGTCAGATCTAATAAATCTCTAGGTTTGTATAAATTCATGGTTGGTTCGAGAAAATTTAAATTGAAAATACACTTCAATGTTTTATTTTGTAATTTCATTAGTGGACTCAAACGTGAAATATTGGTACTTCCCCATATATTAGATATTAGGTATTGAAATCTTGAGTAAATAAGAGAGAAATAAATACTCTTCAAGTATCTAGTAGAAATGAAATTTCGTATTTTGAATAAAATGCCTGTAATAGGATTAAGTTTGTTTCTCAAATGATCTATATGTTTATTCCACAATAGTCGTTCATCAATATAAAGACCTAAAAATTTTGTAACATCTGTATATTTGATGAGTTTATTGTTGAAGGATAGTGTTCTATTTGAAATGTTCAATGTTCTCTTTGCTATGTACATATATGAGGATTTGTTATAATTGAGAGATAGTTTATGAACTTTTAACCAAGAGGATATTTTCTCTAAATCACTTTTCATGTCCATGATGATATTATTTGAATCTTTAGAGAAATAAATCAATGTCGTGTCATCTGCAAATAATTTAAGTTTTTCTCTCAATTCCAGAATAACGCAACGACACCTACATACCTGTTTCAAGCTTTTTTGACTATCATCAGTGCAATAAGGTAGTCGCCAGTCAGCAGTCCGAAGACCGCCTGCTAAGCGTAACCTTGTCCAATAAATTCCAATAAGCAATATTTATGGTCTCAGGGAAAAGGAGCATTTTCATTAGTATTCGTTTATACATATGGATGCATAGATTTCGGGAGGATGTGATTCAATGTTCTGCGTGGCATTAGCCAGCAAAGTTGTAGTTTTTCTCCCGTCATCAGCCATTGTTGTTAATTTTATGAACCTTTGTGGAAATGACTTCGAGCTTTTTGTATTTATTTAATTACAATGATGCTAATTATTGTAATGAAACATACATACCTGGTACTCTACACCATCTTCTTTACAGGCGATTGGAGTATGGAGAGAACAACATTTTCCTTCCACTGGTAAAGTTTCAATCACGAAGTTTTTACTCATTTCATCGTCTACTTCGTGACAATTTTCTACAATAGCTTGTGTTTGTACCTGCGGATATCAGAGAATAAATCAGAAATAGCAAAATATACGTTGGAAGCAGGAAGAGACATAAAAAAAATTCGAAATTACAAAATAGCTATTTATGTAATCATCAGTTAGGAAATGCGTTCTCAGAATTTTATTTCTTGATTGTTCAAATAATTCTCCTCATATTAATGAAAAAGAGGTTCTTCAGAATTATGCAAGTTATTGATGAATTTTAGTATAAACTGACCTTATTAGATCATGGAATAAATTAGATGAGTACCTCATTTGTTACACAATTTTCACAATTTTTTATGCGTTATAGGTCGCGTGCAAGATGACCGACCCTGGAGGTAGAAAACATTGAAACACCACCTCACTTTCTTATTTGTTTACAAATGAGGAATCGAAGGATTGAAATAGTTATTCACAATATTTTGGCATACGAATCGAGTTTATTGGGCTATTTTTTAATTCAAGCATGCCATCACATGACTGTGCTGTTGTACCATGCACAAAAAATGCAGCGAGAGACGAAGGAATATGCTTTTTCAGGGAAATAGTGATCTCACATTGTTTTCATTATGAAATTATGTCATTTCTTATTAGGATTCCGTCTGCCACTTCTGCAATAGGAGCTTATACTGATGATATGAGGGCTAACATTATTTATTGCCTACCATACCGCGCCAGAACTGATAAATATATTTCTTATTTTCGTGTCATTTGACCTGAGTGAATATGTCAACAACACACACGATCATATTTCGTCAGTATGTCAGACCAGTCCTTCCGTTTGATTGCATACATCCAATCTCATTCTTGCCTTCTTTTAGAATCTTCACGAGTATTTCTATTAGCTCCTATTGCAGAAGGAATTCCAATGAGAAATGACAAAATTTCAAAACGAAAACTATCGGTATATGAGTGACTATAGTACTTTTAGATCACAATGTACCTAACTGAAAAATCGGATTCCTTCGTCTCTCGCTGCATTTTTTGTGCATTGTACAATAGCACAATGTGATGGCCGAAAAATACGAGTATGCCAAAATAATTGTGAAGAACTATTTCAATCCTTTGTAAACAAGTCAGGAAAGCGAGGATGTGTTTCAATGTTTTACCTCATCCAGGGTCGATCATCTGACAGATCTTGCACCCAACCAATATCAATCAAACAACAAGCACTAAAATTCATATGACATGAGTGAGAAATGTATAACGTGATATATTCGCGGCCGTCACGGTCATTAGATGACACTGTGATGACATTCGAAACTACGGGAAAACATTCTAACTCCTGTTATAAATTGAAAGTTAGGCATTGACACTGTCCCTATGAATTTTGGGGAATTCTGTATAGAAACCCTTATATCTCGAAAACCGTTGGAGTTAGATATTAGAAAACAATATATCAGTCGAAGCAGAATTAAATCGTAGCATCGTCCTCTTTTGTATTCGGAAATGTCCGAGAACTATAGCTAACTGTTGATATATTCGATTGCTTACCGAACCGTTGACGTTGTCGCAATAATAAGTGACGCAGTGGTCCTCCGAGTGCCACTCGACGCCGATCTCGTGCACCACGCCGTCTGTCACGCACGCCACCTGTCGGCACGAGCCGCAACACTCGGTGGATTCCGGGGCCGCCTCGACGTACTTCGATCCAAGCTCGCACTTCTCGTCGCAGGTCTTCACCTAGTCCAATAAAGATCGATAGATAAATGACAGGTCCGGACACATTTTCAGCAGTAAACTTCCAAAAGGTTAGCAATACCCGAGGACAAATAAGTCATGTTCTTTTTTATGTTCTGGTTCCCACGGAAAGGGATATATCCTGTGATGTGCAGAGAACATCGTGAGAACCAAGGGAAATAAAGTAGGAATTGGTGTTCTTCTTGAATTTCTGGAGGTTATATGCCTCGGGGAACACCTCCCTCCAGAGCCTCGCTGTTCGTTGGATGAGCGAGTCTTTGGAAAGAGATGTCCTGCGGGTCTCCAAAGTGACCACGAAGGGGTGCGAAGCCTAAACTCGACGGGTCAATCTCTCGCGGGGACTGCCAAGGCAGGAACAATTAGTGATATTCCAGAAGAGCATCGTCCATGGAAATATCTATAAAATAGAGCCAGATCGCCAATTTTTCTACGGTGTTCCGGATAAGTGAGTGTGTTTGTGAGCGATGCATCACCCACGAGACGAATTGCCCTTTTTTGGACAGAATCCAACAGTTTCAGGGTATGTTTGGGTGATGCACTCCAAATATGGGAACAGCATTCCAGGACAGGTCGGATCTGTGTCTTATAGATCATAAGCAGCTGACTGGAAGTGAAATAGCTCCTGGCCCGAAACAGAAAACCAAGTTTTTGTGATGCACTTTTAGCAATTGATCTCACGTGATTTTCCCAAGGAAGGTTATTGCTGATAGTAATACCAAGCATCGAAATGGATGTCGTCAAAGGTATGGTTACTCCTGAGAAGCTTATGTTGGGCACAGTGAGATCGGCTTTTCTAGAGAAAAGGCATGCTTGTGTTTTGTTTACACCACATTTCCATCATCGATGGAAGTGACTTCTCTCTCTGATACATCGAATTGTTGGAGCCGTCGGTGCTGAAAAATCACGCAGTTATTTGACATGGCAATCACAGCTATTTTCTCCATTATTCACTTTTCTCTTCGTGATTTGATGGAATATAGATTGTTTTCAATTAGAAGTTCAGAATTGGCGAAATTTAATGGAAAATGGAAAATGATGCATTGAAAGTGTTATTGAAGTCCTTGTCTCCAGATCCAGAAATTCAGAGTTCTTCTGATAGTTCCGAGGATGAAATATTGTTTTTTTAGTTTCTGTTGGTATCAATAATACAGCTATTCTTTTATTTCAATATTTCAGACTGATTTCGATTAATTCATCCATATTTTTCCTTAGGAAAATTGCGAAAAGCTTTCAAATCCAATATTTTGTTATTAGTTTTTTGAGGTTATGCTGTCGCTGTCATGTCAAAAGCCACCAAAATTCGTCCACCATCTTTGTACATCGGTGGAATAGTTTGCAATATTGGTTAACACAACAGTAATAAATGAACGCGTGGTTATGTCGACCTGGAATCCACCAAATATATGAACGCAGTTGGTGGATTGATGGAGCCACCGGTGAATAAAAGAACGTCCCTGTTCTGAAATTAACCCTGTTACAGATATTGGTACTTATAAGCAATAGTCTGGCTCCTAAAAGATGATCGGAAAGAATGTAAGCCGAGATCACAATATAAATGTTACGACTATATCAACTCATTGTCAATTTAAAAATGGAACCCCAAGCGCTTGCTAGAAATGGTGGTATCAGTTCAAAAGTGCAGTCAGTCATATCGTTCGTGACTTGATGAAAGTGACGTCATCTGCAAAACCCAATTGTTTAGATAGGTGCCTACTCTGGACTCAGAAAACTGAAAGAATTCATCATCTCCATTTCGTCCCCGTACTAGTATGGCCAGTCGAACTATACCATTGATAATTACCAGATACATTTTTGGAAAGTATACCTGGTATGCACTGTCGCAATCAACATATAACTTACCGGCGTGAACTAAAATTACCATTGTTGCCACGTTTATACCTTATGGATATTTAGTATGCTCACCAAGGTGATCTGACCAAATTACTTAGTTAACACATAATAACACCACATATCTTTAGTTGACTAACGTTACTAATTTTGTTTCGATTTGATTATTGTTTTGAGGTTATGTTGTGGAACTCCACTTGAATACGTAAATAATGAATAATATATTTTAGAAAGATTCAAAAATGGCTGGAAAACAATAAAAACTTGAGATAGCAGAAGAAGATGAGGCACAATAGATCTAATCAGGTCGCAGCGCATCCACACCTACCAATACCAACACTACCACAGTATACACCCTTACGGAAAACAGTAATTTCTGTCAGCACTTTTCGTGTCTTGAAAATCGTAGTGCGCATGTCCACTCGTGGCTCGGATGCGCAGTTGCTCAGCTAGAATGGCAGGTGTTTTGTTTACACTTCTTTGATTTATATGCCTTCATGATTCATTCTGTGATAGGGACCACTTGTATCAAGATTTATTTATTGATACTGGTATTGTTTTGTGAACCACTTATTCCCGATTGCTAGTATAATTATTGTGCTTTATGAACTTCATATGTGAGGTCACTGATTCCTCACAGCTTCTGGTGATCCGTTTCACTTTTGAGTGCTATCAATATCACTGTTCATCGAGTTGGTTATCATTTAAAGACTGCCTACTGTTTTATTTGTAGCAAAAATAGTAGGACGGATTGCATTTTGAGTTTCTTCAGATTTCATAAATAACATCAAGAATATTATCTGAATCTTGATTCCCCGAAAAATATACTGTGATAAAGTTTTTTATAATCTAAATATCAATGTTTTCACGAATGGTATGGTGGTAAGTGCGTAGATAGGCTATTTATTTATTTGATGCCGGGCCTGTTCACATAAACTTCAGTGACTTCATAGCATTCCTCAGTGATGACGAGCGAGTCGTCTTTGGCTTGTCATTCGCTTGACCAAGCCCGTAAGTCGAAAGTCACTGCGTGGTGGTATGCGCATTGGTCTGTCAAAAAATAAAACTTGGTGGACACCAACATCAAACGTCCCAACAGTAAGGGCCGGTATCATGAAGAAAAATTAATCATACAATCAACTGATGACACAATAACTTTGATGTTATGTTAAATGTCATTTGCGTTGCAATCTGATCTCAATTATTTTCAATTTATTTCATAACTGTTTTCGATGCTATTTGAAAAATAATTCCAAATCAGCTAGTGATGCTGGTCTCGGAACTTCTTAATCCTACACACATTCATTTCATTGTTACTATCCTAATCTGATCTTCATACACTTATGTTATTGTTAGAGATTCTTTTTGACAACTCAGTTTTAAATATTTTAAGGTTATCGGCTTCCCTCAAAGCCACTGGTAAACAATTAAAAGATTTGATACATTTATTGAGAGGGTTATTTAAAGCTATGTTCGTTCTTGTGGGCTCGATGTATATATTTCTTTGGTTTCTTGTCTCATAGGAATAGACTTCATGGTTTAATTTAATTCGTGAATTACACTTCTGTTATGTTATGTCATAATAATCATTCCATTTACTAATGACGAGAAGGGAGTGGCAACAGCGTTAATATGTCTGATCCTTGCGTTCCGCTACGCATTTTAGGTTAGATTTATCTGCTTGGTTTTCATTCAGATTGACAGAAGTTACAGAAGAAAATAATGGATAATTCGAAGAAAAAACGAGGGTAATGGAGATTGTTAAAAAGTAAGAGAAGTTTTGCATAATACCTAGGTATGATTTTAATATTGATTGACATCTTTCGTTCAAAACTCATGAAGCTATTATATTTATCTTGTCTACAGGTATAAAAATATTATTGAGTGCAAACAATCGGATGCGATATGTCTGAACAGAAAACGAGATACATGGATAAAAATCCAGAATCAGTTCAATTCCATTACAACTGGGTTAGAAAACCTGAATCGGGTATTGAAATTATTGCCATCATACATTTCCAATGGATTGTTTCTATTTCGAAAGGTTCTTGGCCTGGGAATTAGTAGTTCTTCTTCAGATAGTGAAGACAATGATGAGATAGACATTTTCTGTAATCCCTATATTAGTCATTCACGCACATTATTGTGTTCATTCACCTACTCTACCTTTTTGAAATGAAACAAGAACTAAGAACTATAACGTTTTTTCAGATTCTGCAAAAATTCTGCGAAATATTCAAAATAATTTGGCGGAACATTCACAAATCATTTGATGGTTGTCTCTTTAATCACAATAAGTCGAGTTGATGTGACATCCAAAGTTGATTGGCCTTTGTGCAACCGATTTTTTAGTTAAATTGTCATTATCATAAGTTAATTAGATGATCTAGTCACCATGCCATTAAATACATGATGGGCCTTTCAAGCAACAGAATTTCATTTATAACGTCGCATCAAATATTTGAAGTGACATCAAATATTTGATGAGCTTTTATGCAACCAGCCCTAAGTGAAATTACTGTTTTCCTCAACCTTTCAGTAGTTGCACGCGGAGTATCACTCCGCAAGAATATAAAACGCGAGTTTTCTTGAATATACATCATTCCATCATTCCGCCGCACTCAGTACCTTCCTAAAATGACGACTTCTGTACAAATCGACTATTACCGATGAGCAAAATTGCTTCGTTTTCGAATTTCATAGCGTAGTGCGGAGTCGTACTCAGAAGCGACCTTAGACGTCTTAGTAATATTGCATATTGCAGTTACACTTTGCGGCAATTTTGGGCGTTTTAGGCAAGAATTTTGTCTCATTTGATGAATGATATTTTATAAAATATCGCTTTGTAAACACACATGATCGATGCTACTGTGATGATAAAAAAAATAGACACACCCAATTTTATTGTAGTACATGTGAAAAATTCATGTGGTTATTAGAACCCGCTTTATTCATTTGCAGAGATTGCCGATGAGTCATTGGTGGTTTGAGATTGAAATATTACCAGGTTGTCCTCAAATTATAGTGTTTTTATTCGAATTCTATTTATCAAATCTTCGTTAGTTGTCTTATGGTAATTTTGGATTTTGTTATTGAACAAATATATTTTTATTGCAATTTTGACATTTTACTTCGTAGAGATATTCATGTCCAAAGGCATACTGATGAAATCATCATGTTCAAACCACCCGAATTCACCCAGTCAGACTCCGTAGCGACAGACTATGTCCTTTTTAAGGCGCAAGTGCTGGAAGGTTAAGGGTGTATTCTGTGGTACTACTAACCCTCGTCTCCTTGTGCACGCCGTCCTCGGTGCGCACGCAGCTGAAGCTCGTGCACCGGTCGCGCGGCTTGGTCCAGTTGGCGCCGACCTCGTACACGTCGCCGTCGTACTTGCACGCCGTCCGTTCGACGTCGGCGCAGCACCGGCCGAACGACGGCCGCTCGGTCAGCTCGAACTCGGCGTAGTCGGCGTGGGCGGCGAGTTTGGGACAGTCGGTGCGCGAGCACGTCGGCTGGTAGTTGCCTGGAATGGTATTAGCAGTGCAATGGAACCCACTAAACATGCAATGTTACAAAATATTGCCACAATATATTGTAAAGCTTTCTTCCGTAATACATATTAAAATACAATATTGTATCAATTTTGCTGCTATATTCGTGTTGACAATATAACAGAAAAACCTACCGACAAATCGTTTGTAAGTTACAAAATGACCCATCCATTTTAGTTTCAATAGCAATTATATTTATTTATTATATTTTTATACTTTCTTTTTGTAAATTGTATAATTGGCTTGTCCGTTAATAAATAAATAAAAATAAATAAATATTGCATCAACTATTTATATTCTTATTGAAATTGCAACATTACATTGATCAACTACTAACAATGTCAGTGCAACGTTACATATGAAATTATCAGTGAATTTTCAATTGTAATGTTGCATAAAAATTAATACTTCATTGAGTCTGTAAATAACATAAGCTAACTACAAACAATATAGCTACAACTCATGAAATGCAACCCGAATTTGATTATGAATTGTAATATAGCTGAAATATACAAAATTCTTCATTGTGTATCGATCGGGAGACGCCATTTTATGAAATGCCAACGCGCAGTCGCAAACTTGCATTCGACAAACGTCAGCTTCTCAGTCGCCATATTTGTTAGTGTTTGGCTTCGGTAACAGGTACTTTGTTGTTGTACACGTCCAATTAAATGGCAAATAATACCAATAAATAATATACTTTGGAACATAAATTAGGTATAGTGGAGATATGGCGATTTGTGCTATTAGGCAGTTTGGAACGTTTTGAATCGCAGTTAATGGTTAGGCAAGTCATCAGTTATTCTAGGTTAGGTATACATTTTACAAATCCATACATCGTTTATTGATCTAAGCAGATCGTTATCGTTCGACACTAAATAACAGAATGATTATATCTATTCGTATAGATCCTTATTGTTATAGGACAAACTTATAATCTCTGCTCAAATCATCAAATCTTATATCTCATCTTACTGTACTTAGCTGATGTACAAAAAACTTTGAGATCGCACTCACAATTCATTCTAAAACAAAATCAAATATTGTTCTTCAGAATATTCTCTGGATCCTAAGAAATATTCATATTATCTAGTGAATATTCTATGAATATCTCCAGTGTTATTATACTCTCAGCATACCTTGGAAAATCAATATTTCCAGAATTAAGTATACAATACTTGTATATTCCTGATTATTTATTTTATTTTCATTTCCATTGATCCAGATTCTTAGGCATTGCAGTGCCTATAAGCCGTAGCACCGTTATATCGAAAACAATTTCAAATTTTCTCAATTGACTTATAAATTATGGAATAGTCGACACGATTATTCGATTATTAGAAGATTGCTGCTATGTGTAATTATAAAATATGTAATTTTCCTATACTTTTTATTTTATGTTGCCAGTAACGTTAATAAAATATCACAATAAGTATACACTTGTTCATTGAATATGAAATGTTACTGTACTTCATACACAATGTAACAATAACTTTTCTGGAATGATTCATTCGCGAACATCACATTCATAATATTGCTGAACGTCCATTCTAAATTTTCCAAAAGTGTTATGTGGTCTACTGTATCGAAAGCTTTTTTGAGATCAACAAAAATTGCTATCACATAATTTCCGGCATAAAGTCCTTTTTGTATTGCTGGTATCCCTTCATAAATTTGTACTAGTTTTTTTAGAGTAATAATGGAAACAAAAAAAACAATTCCGACTCACCTATATTCGTGAAAACACACTTGCACTCCCTGCAAGGCCCGTCCTTCCAAGTCTCGTTGGCGTTCTTCAGCAACTTCTGCTTCTCCAGCATCGTCAACTTTCTCTCTCCGCCCTTTTCAGCGGCAGCGTACTCCGTCTCGTAGATGCACTTGTCCTTGGGCGGCGCACAGGAATAGAAGGGGCAGCATTTGCCGGCCGAATTCTCCGTCTTGAGCGAGTAGAACTGAGGGCAGTCTTTGGGCGGCGGGCAGGAGTCCTTCTTGCACTGCAGGTTCACCACCGGGCAGCAACTGCTCTCGTCGACTACCTGTTGAGTCGTGTAATTTGATAGCGTATACGACTGGATTGCACTGACATGGTATATATGCGAATTTAGCACTGCACTGACTTCGGACAAAATTCATTTCAATTCAAATCAAATATCTCACTTCAAAATTGACAAATTATCAAATGATTACTTAAATTTTTCATTATGGAAAGAATAATTATTTGCGGCATAATAAGTATGCGGATAATCAGAGGTTTCGATGGTGTATAGTTGGTATAATGTAATTTTGTCATTCACTACTGATACCTGGTATTCCAATATTTTATTACAATTTCTGAGTATCATCATCCTACTTCGATTTTATGAATTCAGAAATACTATCACTGTTGCTCGACAATAGCAGGGAATCAAGTGTTGATAGTTTCAAAAGATTCCTTTCGAAATCTGGACATGACAATGTGAATAAACACATTTTCCAGCCCGTGAATTTGGCATCGTCAAAAATTATTGCGCCGAAACATTCGAATTAACAATGAGCGCTTTTATCAATCCATAAATTCTGCTCTGCCCTTGAGTAGCGCTTGATCAGCCGAATAAACATAATATTGGTACTGTCTGAGTGCATACCTGCCGAATACACACGTATGACAAAAGTTGGAATTGAATGCGCACTAGTGCAGCCAGTTGAATACGCTATAAGTCAAGAGATTCGAGGTATCAGAAAGTGGACAAGTGTCCTCTCCATTTAGCTGATATAAGTCTGGACAATGATTGTTCACTCTGAAATATTTATAATTCCTTTGGTGTGCCCACTCTTTAATTGTTTCGTCAGACTAACACTCGATATGAACAATTTTCTTGAGTTAGGACTACGTGTCGTTCATGAATTCACCCCTGAAAGTCGAAAATATAACGCACCGTTTCCATTTATACAAGAAATTGTGAAAATGAAAAAGTGAACTCAAGTGAATGTGTCATGATGCCTGTAAATTTGGTTTGAAACTTCGGAAATTTAGCAAGACTCTCCCATGCGAGTAGGAGATATCGAGAGATTCCGAAACTCCTTTCGATAGAAAGTGATAACACCATTCCACTTACTATACATCTTGATTCACTGAACAAGATGGTTCATCCCCTATACTTCAACATATGTAACGTCATGCATTCACAAGACCCTCGTTGATTGATGCTCGTGAACAAGTCAGTGATTGACAATGACATATTGACAGATTCCATTTTTCATTTCATTCGACGTTATTATAGGTATTCGAATTTCAAAATTGATTCAACGAATAGAACCTCGACTCTCATGTTATGATTATCGACATCTTTCATCGATTATTTCATTCACACCTGGCTGGACCTATGAAATTTCTTGATTGAAGTCACATGATATGCGATATCAGCGGCTATTTAGGTAAACAAACAATATGAGCGGCTATTCTGTTCGCCAGCATAAGAGTGCTACGGTTGTCAAACTTTGACATACCTATCAGTCACTCAAAAACTTCCATTACGGAAATCCGTAATTATGTTAGCGAATCATTATCAAAAAACACAAGATGAGTAAAGAGTATGTCTGGAACAATTGATGTTTTTTGCCAGCAGTAAAACTATGAATTTTGTGCGACTACCCCAACTCTCGTGTTTGCCCAAATCCTGAAAGAATACATAGTTAAAATTGACATGGAAAACTGTACAGGAAAATTACTTCAATGAACATAAACGTAAGATAAATCCATTTGGATATATCTAATTCAAAGGTGCGAGGGATGCGCATAATGCGAAAAAGCAAAGCCTGCAATATTTTCCTCAAACAAAAAAAGGAGAGTTCAGAAATTCAAATTATTTGCTTTAATTCATCTCGAGTACCTTGTTTTTTGAGATAATTCAATTCGGCCATATGAACATTAATAATCATAGAATAAATCCCTCGAGTTGAAGCTCTCGGAAGTTATTCAGATTATTAATATTCATATGGTCTCATCAAATTGTCAAAATACAAGGTTACTCTCGATAGGATTATGAGGAAAATAGTAGTCGGCTATTTGTCATGGTCTCGGGATATTACCTACGAATATTTCCCTCATATATCAGTAATTGCCCTACAGAGCGAACACATTTGAAACCATGTCGCTAGACGCCAGTAAAAAATAGAAATAAAGGTCAGATGGACTTCAAAAACTGACGAAAATGTCGCGTTTTGGTGAGTGCTCCATACAATCTATCCACGAAAGTAAAAATGAAAGTGAACCAAACAATTCCAACAAACAGAATTCCTTTATACGTGAATATTCCAATGAATTATATTCGTGCATAAAAATGACCACATAATTTTGCATTCAAGCGTGTTATCTTATATTAATTGCATTCGGTAATTTTCATATTTTGCTAAAGGCCCCTTCTCCATCAGACTCGGGCTCTTTCGCCAAAATATGAAAATAACCTCTTACAATTTTTAGATAACACTTGGGCGAACTATTTCCATATATTCTCAAAAGATAACCTATATACTATATACCTACCTTATAACTACTGCTATTGTAAGGTACATCGCGAAATAAAAAAATTGAATTAACTAAAGAGTATCGTTTTATTTGCAAGTATTTCAGGGAGTATGAACTTCCGCTAGAAATTATTCATTTTCTTTCCAAAAGGTGAATAAATTTTGGAATACTCATCCGTGAATACAACATTATATTTTCAACTGAAACTGGTTCAGATTAAATAACAATATTTAGACAATATGGGCCAACAATACTAAACGCCAAATACGGCTAAATGAATGAAATCGCGAATGGTGGGGAAAAGTGAAACACTGTATACCTTGACGTAGCCTGGCTCCAGAGGGGGCACCGTCGACATGTCGAGCGGTTCGCAATCTTCCTTCGGTTTGCATTCGCAGATGAAGAATTGACAGCCGTTACTCTTCGTGTCAAGCTTGAGGATCTGGTCCTTGTTGCAGGTGATGTTCTGCGGGGGGTCACAAGTGGGAGAGGCGGTCGCTTCTGGAACTAAAAACGAAAACTTTGACGCTCGAAATCTATTAGTTTTTCTTCTATAAAGAGTAGGTGAGAAAATATAAAAATGAATCACAAGTGGGCGAAGTTGTCGCTTCTGGAACTGAAAACGAATACTTTTACGCTGGTTGGGTTTATTTCGACTGATAGGCGACTGAGATTAAGATCGTAGCGCCAGAACGACTAATGCCGGAACTACTTTATGGGCCTTTGGCGGATTGATCACATTGTTTGGGTGGTTTGGTATTAGTGTTTATGTTCATTTCATGGGCTCTGTGGCCGAGTTTGTCTATGCGCTGAAATTCGCTAGATAGCCGTTCACGATGCAGAGGTACTGTCGGTTCGAATCCGGCTATCGGCTGAGCATTTTTCTTTGAAATGTGTGATTCATGGTTGTAATCCTGGCAGCACCTCGATGCCCTAGAAGTGGTTCGGATTCCACTGTGAGCTGTAGGTCCCGCTCTTCCTAACCCCGCACAAGTTTCGACTTCTGGGGAGTTGGTTCCCAACTTTGAAGTAACGATATACAAACAGAATTTCGTTTTGAGTTTTCAAACGTTCAGCTTCGTTATTTGTGTTTTTGAACTTCGTATTTTCCAGGGGTTTGTTGTTTTTCGATTGAGAACTATATTATCTCTGTTCAAAATTAGATAACCTACCTCTAGTTGGAATTTATATATACCAACATACATGAGCTGTATACGTTATCATTATTGAACAAGAATTCTAATGATTTAGCCTGTGTGGGATGGTGATTTCCAATTCAAATAGATGGCTGGGATATAGCCCTGATAGAATAATATTTTATAGAGAGAAATCCGGCATAACTTTTGGGACTGAAATGTTATTTCGAAGGTGAAGTTGAATATTTTTTGATTGACTTTTTACAACACAATTATCAAAAACCTGCTTTCATTTATATTCATGATACAGAAACTGAATGTAAGAAATGTTTCATTTTTCTGGAACATACATAGTAGGAAGACTATCATAGAAGCTCTCCAAGAAATCACTTATTTATATTATGTAGGTAAGTTGAAGAAACTACATAAAGAATGGGCGAGTAGACTAATGAATTATTGGTATCCGATTACTACACTGTGTCGTTAGGGACCTATACTATATTGTTTACCGAGCACGAAATGATAGTGATTTCCTACGAGAATGAACTTTGCAGCATGAGCCATAGGCGAATGCTGCAATCATTCGTGTAGGAAATTAGCATTCCATGCAAGTTATACACCATACTTTTTCTACGGCTATAATAGATAAAAGCGGCATTTTCGATTTCTTCGTCTTGTAGCCATCTGATTTCCTGTCAAGTAATGCTCATCTATTAGACAGAGCTGTCATTGCTTGAAATTTGACATTCCATGGGCTATGAGTTTTTTTTTAAATAATAACACATTGTGATATCAGATACGGAAATAAAATTGATGACATACAAAGTATCTCATTGATGTATCAAGCACAGTAAAACAAGAGCAATCTTGTGTTACAGCCGTAGAAAAAACACTTCTCACACTTCTTTTTATGTAAATATCGAGTGTATGCGTTGTTCGAAATTGTTGAATTTCGGAGCTCCCTTCAAACGATCCGTCATGGCAACTATTTGGCGATAAAGCTGTTTCATCATTGGTCAGATAATCTTTCATTCCCACTCACGAAGCAAGGTTGTCAAGTCACTAATTATAATCAAGTTATCAAAAAGATATAAGAGTCCTGTCGTTGAATGGAACGAAACATGATAGAGGAACCCATGATATTATATATAGTTCATTCTTGACTCTTTCGAGCAACCAGCATGTCCGAATATACTCCATACTCCATAACAAAATTTCATGTTAATGTTGGAGACCTGGCAACATTGTACTAAATGTGAGAAGGGACAAGACCACGCCCACAAGTCATGCGTGCGGTGTTGTCACGTTCACCGCTTCAAATATCCTCTAGTGTGGATTAATATAATTACTATTTACACAAATGCATTACAAGATAGATCATTTCTATGATTATAACTTGGATTCAAGTCGATTTTCATTGAAACTTTCCATGTAATGTTTGAATGTTGACTCAATATTATCGAAAATAAACATTTTTGTGTACGTCACTGATGAACAGTTCGTCTTATCGTCTTGAAGAAAGAACAAGTTTTTTCAATTATTGATTATCAAAACAGCTGAACATTTTACTCACCACAAGTAAACTTATCGCAACATTCTTCGCCGTCCGAGGGCAGTTTGACGGCGTCGTACCCTCTTCCGCATATCGTAGAGGCGCTTGGACATTGTTGCGTTTCGCATTCGAGAGATGTCCCTTCGCAAGTGCAGTTCGTGCATTTGTCCTTTTTCCAGTGGTCGCCCGGATGATGACCTTCGCTATCGCAGACCACGCAGTGTTCTGGTATCACGCACGTATCGTTGAGCAAAACCTACAATTTATTTATACATTTTTACTTATTCATTTTCAGAATTTTTTATCTATTATACATTCAAAATATTGGAAGAATGAATTTGATAGGAAACTATACCATATTTGCAGACGATACAGTGCTTCTATATGAGAATAAAAACCCAGTAGTTTTAGAACATATCATAAATGAGGACTTGAGACAAATGAGAAAAATTGAGAAACGAGTTTATTTCAATCCTCTTTCTACCAATTCTAATAAGACAATATATAATTCACGATAATACTTCATGATTTATCTTATACCAGGGATTACTGTTTGATCATTCATGTCATTCCTACTAAAAAATTAATTATACTTCATATATTATTTGAATAAAATGTATCAATATCTCAGTAAAACGGTAACGATTAGGGCCCAATCCGGGAAAAAATTCAAGTAGTCGGTTTCTCTGTGGTTTTATATGTTATTAGAGGTGTTGAATTCGAATCTGAATTTTGCAAACAAAATTTCCTGGAGTGTTCTGAGATATTAGCAAAAAAAAACGAAATTTTCGCACTGTTTTCGTTTTTTTTTGCCCGTAACTCGGAAATCATACATTATATCGAAAATACCTTTATAAAAAAAGTTGGAGTAGATAAAATTCCCTAGATAAAATTGTTCTTGCTCATGAATGTAGGACTGAAGGGTGCGTAGATAGAGCTAGTTGAAAGTTGACCAAATTTGGGTACTTTTAAAAAAATAGCGTTTTTCGTCGGTTTTCACAGATAATTCATATTTTACGTAAAACTCAGAGACGGAGCATCATGCACATATTGGAAGTGCATCAAATTTCATAACGAGCTCATGTAAATTTCGTCATCATGAAAAAAGAAGAACGGCTGTTAGAGCGCTCGGACTTGGAGACGTCTTTCAGTCGTAGTTGCCACACTCATTTTCATCCTTTTAACTTATATGATTTGGATCATATGAACCTATATTCATTAAAGCTCTGGAGAGTATAAATTGTTCATTGTTTCGTTTTTGTATTCTGTGGGGTGGGGGACAAAAAAATAAAATTCTGTACGCTGGAATTATAGTTAATATAATTGCGATACAATAATTCCAAATGCTATACGGTATTCTTTGAACATCTCGATAAATAACTGATGAACTATTCAAACTATCAAAATTACCTATTTTGTGATGAATAAGTATTAGAATCAATTCTCGCTCATGTGGCTTCCAAGGCGTCAAGGGAACGAGGCAGCTGATCGCCTAGCAAAAATGTGCAGAGCTCACATTTTACCTTCCTGTGAGACAAGCAAATGCCATCTTATCACAGAGCTCAGAAAATGAGAATGAAGTGAAAAATTCTACCACTGTTGAGCAACTCCAGGTGAACGAGAAGGAAAGAGTTCTTCAACAATTCGTAAGCTACTGAGTCTCAGCAAACAAAAGGTAAAAAAAAAACAATATTATTCCTTGTTTATGTGAAAATACATATAAGTAGTGACAAGTCGAGGGTCATGAGTTACATGCTGACAGAGGTGAGAATTCGCGTGGCTAGGACTCTTCCACATCAGGCAGTATAGTTCGTTCCTGAATGCGTAGATTAGGAATTATCTGCGAAATCCGATTAAAAACGCTATGTTTTGGAAACTACGCAAATTTGGTCAATTTCCAACTGGCTCTATCTCTGCACTCGTTAGTTCTACATTCATAAGAAATGACAATTATATTGCAAATTTTATCTACTTCAACTTTCTATAGGGCGGACGATATAACGTGTAATTTCCGGGTTACGGACAAAAAACCGAAAAAAGTTCGAAAATTTTGCTGTTTTTTGCGAATATCTCGGAACGCTCCAGTAAATTTTGTTTGCAGAATTCAAATTCGAATTCAGCACATCCAAGAACATATGAAACCACAGAGAACCCGACCACTTGAATTTTTTTCAAGTGAAAATACCATTTGATTGACCTGCAATGAAGAATAGAATGTAATGCAATAACTGAAATAAATAAATAAATATCAGCACACTATAGAAATAATAATATGCAAATTTTTTCCTACTATAAACATGATCAAAAAAGTTGAGAACTTGTCTATGATCATGTTTATTTTCCTTCCACTAGCTAACTAAAATTATTTTTCTCATCGAGTGCAAGGACCCCGCACTAAACTATAGGGAAAATGGCTCTCGATGAAAATCGCTGAATTTTTGGTATGTTGCAGACATTTATATACTGAACAGATCTTCCATTGAACTAACCTCAAAAAATGGACAGTTTTTCCAATATTGACCTCCAAATGTCATTGTTTCGAGAAAAAAAAGTATTTGAAAATGGTTGAATTTTTGGCATGTTGTAGATAGGAATGAGCTGATGGAAAAATCCAATTTACTTAACCTCCAAAAATTGACAGTTTTCTCTATATTGACCTCCAAATGTCATTTTTTCGAGAAAAAAAGTATCTGAAAATGGTTGAATTTTTGGCATGTTATAGATAGGAATGAACTGATGAAAAAATCCAATTGACCTAACCTCCAAAAATTGACAGTTTTCTCGATATTGACCTTCAAATGCAATTTTTTCAATAAAAAAAATCTCTGAAAATGGCTGAATTTCTGGTATATGTTTTAGGAAGAAATGAACTGATGAAAAAATCCAATTGACCTAACCTCAAAATATAGACAGTTTTTGTTCACTGTCGCAGACCGTTCTCTCTTCAAATCTCTTTACATTTCGTAAATAATTATTGAAATTCACGATATTTCATACATGAAAATTGTGGGACAACGCGTGATGACGTCATATACCGCGATCAATCCATTGCAATTATACTATACGATACTTTACTACACAACACTCCACTCCTACTGTGAAAATGAATCCTAAATTCTATGAAGAATTTGGAAATATTCTCATTGGTTGTTGGGCAATAAAAATCTAAAAGTGCTAATCGGTATCGGTATGTCAATGTCACGTCATCGGCGGCTATATAGTGTTGCTGAGAGGTGATTATTGAAACAAAAATATATCTGGGGTGTATCGAATTTTATAATAGATGGAATGATCGAAATAAAATAGATATATGGCATAAATTCGAATAGAGTGTATACCTAGACCCCATTGATTTCGGAAAGACTATAACCATCTTTTAAATAATATTTATTTAATTACATCCCCTCTTATATTTTCTTCACCTGTGCATGTATCATATAAAGAAGATTTGTTTTAAGAAGAACGAAAGGCCAAATACTAATTAATTAAACAGCAACTTTGTCTATTGATTATTATTCCATTCATCTTATTTTCCATTCGTATACACTTGGAGGTCAATATCGAAAAACTGTCAATTTTTTGTTAGGTCAATTGGATTTTTTCATCAGTTCATTCCTATCTACAACATACTAGAAATTCAGCCATTTTCAGAGATTTTTTTACATGAAAAAATTACACTTGGAGGTCAATATCGAGAAAACTGTCAATTTTTGGAGGTTAGGTCAATTGGTTTTTATAATCAGTTCATTCCTATCTACAACATGCCAAAAATTCAACCATTTTCAGCAACTTTTTTTTTTACCATTTGAAGGTCTATATTGGAAAAACTGTCCATTTTTTGAGGTTAGTTCCATGGAATATCTGTTCAGTATATCAAAGTCTGCAACATACCAGAAATTCAGCGATGAATTCTCAATCCATCATTAATTTTTTTTCTTGAATCCAAAAAAAAAAGATTTTTTTCAATGAAAGAGGCAATGCATTGTAATTTTTTTACCTATATGAATGGCATGTTGTTGCATTAGAGTTGAAGAGAATAAAACTACGATGGCGTGTGTCGGTAAGCAGGACTTACTCACCTTCCCTTCTGGACAATAGCACCCTTCGGTCGGAATGGCATGCTTCTTCGCGCTTTTGATGCCACCCTTCAAATCAGCGCACGTTTTCTGGCTACTGGTACCGCAAGGATCGTAGAATTGGCCGGCCGGGCACGGTTTAGCTGGACACAGATCGTTCCTCCAATTGATGCAGAATCCCGAACTGGCGCAATCTCTTGCATATGCCTCTATTGCACTGCATGACAGTTCCGGGTGTTTCCCACACGAGTCCTTTTTGCACCATTCGATGAAGAGATTCGGATTCCGTACGTTCAAGCACTGAAAAGAAGTTATAAGTTAAAACGTTGAAATATTAACTGTTCGAAAGGACTATACAGTGTGTCCCACTTACCATGCTCACCATGGATATCTTTTTAACGGTGAGAGATACGAGGTCGGTTAAACGACACCAAATGTGGAGTTTGTCAAGGCCAACTATAATGTGAAAAAATATTTTGATAAAATCTATTCGTATTTGTTTTATACGCAAAAAACAGATTTTGATCATTTTCATGTCTCCTCCGTAACTTCTTTATTTATGGAAATATTCAAATAGGAATTTCACATTCTGATGGCAGTTTTTCGAAGTGATTTCGAAAAAAATATGAAATTCATACCAACTCTTCTAGAATTAGAGATATCAGCACCAACTTTAGTTTTTCAAATGTAGGTCATAGCTCACTATGACTTAGTTACAAATAACTTTTTTTTTCTCTTTCAGATGATATGTCGCAGTAATAGTTTTGTGTTGATAACAACGGAGTTATCGTCATTTATACAAAAGAAACAATTATTCGGAAGCCGCCATCTTGAATTTATGAATTTTAACATAAAAATCATGACCTCGGACCTCAAAGACTTCCACTTACCAATTTTGAATGGAATCGGAGCAAATCTTGTCCGCCATCTTGGAGCAGCCATTTTTTTTAATTTCAACAAAAATTCCATAACTCCGATTAACTTGAAATTTTGCAGGTGTTTATAATTTCGGTGACAATACATTATGGAATTTCTGTTGAAATTAAAATGGCTGCTCCAAGATGGCGGACAAGATTTGGTCCGATTTCATTCGAAATTGGTAAGTGGGGGTTTTTGAGGTCGGAGATCATGATTTTTTTGTTTAAATTTATAAATTCAAAATGGCGGTTTCCGAATAATATTTTGTTTTTGTATAAATGATGATAACTCCGTTGTTATCAACACAAGACTATTACTGCGACATATCATCTGATAGACAAAAAAAAGTTATTTGTAACTGAGTCATAGTGAGCTATGACCTACATTTGAAAAACTAAAGTTGGTGCTGATATCTCTAATTCTAGAAAAGTTGGTATAAATTTCAAATTTTTTTCGAAATCACTTTGAAAAACTGCCATTAGAATGTGGAATTCCTATTTGAATATTTTCATAAATAAAGAAGTTACGGAGGAGACATGAAAATGATCAAAATCTGTTTTTTGCGTATAAAACAAGAATGAACAGATTTTATCAAAATATTTTTCCACATTATAGTTGGCCTGGACAAACTCCACATTTGGTGTCATTCAACCGACCTCGTATCTCTCACCGTTAAAAAGATACCCATGGTGAACATGGTAAGTGGGACACACTGTATATTCATAAAATTTTATTACGATTAATCACGTGTCGAATTATTTTTGGGCGAACTAAGAATCAATAGTCGTTAGTTGAAGAGTTTTGAATGAATGTCACGAGCGCGGTTGGAGCAGTCGAGTCAATACGAAAAAGCCATATTTCTGCACATACAGACATTTACGGGAATTGCGATATACAGGGTGTCCCGTAAATACCACGTCAAACCTAGGGAGAATGTATATCCAAGGATAAAAAATGTTCAAAATGTTCGGAGAATGTTTTTAATGTATACTTCAACATCATTCTTCAGCAATATTTAATAAAAAAATGAACCAAAAAGGTGTAATATGGTACCAACCGTACAGACAAAACCATTGAGGGCAAGAATGCAATATTTTCAACGAAAAAAAATATCTCGAACACGGTAAGACTTTTATAATGGGAATTTTGTTATAGCAGGTGGGTTATCTTGTGATCTACATTATTCTTAGGTTTGACTTGGTCTTTACGGGACACCCTGTATAGAATTGATTATTGGCATTTCTCGATTTTTCACACATGATTTCGCACAGTAATTCGCCATTTGATCTACGAGTTTGACTTCAAAACGATAATATTTTCACAAAAATCTTAATTAAACGACATATTTTGCCAACATAGGCTTCTTCAGTTCAAATACTGGTACAAAGAACTTTTTTTTAAGAAAATCTTATCGTTTGTGAAGTTTTTACATTTCCTAAAAATTGTCGCAGTCATTATTCAAGTATGGTCTTTATTTTCAAATTTGTGGAAGAGAACAAATCAATAAGTTATTCAAATGAGTTTTGATATGCAATGATATAATCCATTATCATGTTACGAGGTCTCAAAGTAATTTCCATATACCTAGAATGAAATTGTCTGTTTGTAAAGGGTCTTGATAATTTCAATAAGCTTCCAAATAAACTGAAAAATCTTTCGACTGTTAGGCTGTTTAGGAGTCATTTGTTGGAACATATGAAGAGAATCTGAAACTGAACTGAAGAAAAATAAAGAAAATATTTTATTAGATGTATAAATGTTATAGTAATAGATTGAAAAAATATATTCTGTATATCAGGAGAAATTCTAAATGAAAACTAATTATTATTATTACCAACACCCTGTATGAAAAAATCATATTTCCTAAAATTCACTAGTGCGATAAAGATACTTTTTCACACTAGTGCATTGAAGTTCAACTTCCCACACGCGAAGCAGTGCGGTAAAGTGCACGCGAGTCGAAAAAGAACCGCAATGCGCTCATTCTCACCTGGCCGAACTTGTTCGCATCGATCAACTGACCGCACGGATCCGATCCCTCTGGCACAGGTGGACACTTCTCCTCCACTTTATTCCCGCACTCCTCCTTACTCTGCCCGCCTGGCAAGTGCTCGTACAGCCAGCTCGTGGCGAAGTCGTCGACGTCATTCGGCTTGCGTCCCGACGGCGTCGTGAAGTCGTCGTCGGGATCGCCGTTGCACTGGCCGCAAATGCCCTCGAGACGCCCGCCATATTTGTGCGAGGGGGCCTTGACGGATACGCCGAGAGAGGGGTAGTACACCGACACCTACGAGAAATTTCATTATTTGTGATTTTTTTGTCAAATTTGTATTTGGCTATTTCAAAGTTGGGAACCAACTCCTCAGAAGTGTAAATTTGTGATAGAAAGAGCGGGAGCTACAACTTATAGTGGATTCTGGACGACTTCTAGGGCGCCGAGGTTCAGCCAAAATTACAACCGAGAATCAACCATTTTCAAGAAAAATTCTCAGTCGAGCCGGATTCGAACCAACAGCACCTTAGCATCGTGAATATAGCTAACTTGTGCACCTTAGATTGCTTGGATAATGGAAATGGAAGGAACTTCATTAGTGTCAACAAACAATCAATCCTAGACCTCGATTTTCTAAGATAGGTTGAAATAAGAGAAAGAAGAAGGGCTTTGTCATTGTTAGTTCAGTCATATTAGAAAAAATAGAAAAAATAATTGATAAAAAGCTATAAGTTGGTAGAAACATCAACCTTGGCCTACTGTTGATTATGCCAAAAGTCCGGACCAATACAAGCACGGCTCGATCCGCCATCTTGGAAAAAAAGCACACTAATCCAGTTTTTCTCTCATATCCCAGTTATTGTTGATTCTATCGTATTGAAAGTCATTACAAAAAATGAAGCTAATTGAATTCTACATAAAAAAGGTTGGAAATTTTTTTTCCTCTTCTCCATATTTCTTCTGTTATACACTGTTGAATATTTGGATATTTGTATTCATTGCCGAAAAAAATACACTCTGTATAGAATTTGTGAGAAATGATATAAATTGGAGTAATTTTGAAAACTTATATAATATTTCCTTGTGTATACAAAAATGTTTTATTCGAACAAGTACTTATATAGAAAAAAAAATTAATTGTCCTGCGAGCAGATGACTGAGGTACTGCAGATCAATGCTCATCATCTCTGTCCTCCGCATCAAACACGTAAAAGTTGTCATCTTCATGGTCTATCTCCTTTTCATCAGTATCACACGAAGTATCTGAATTCATACATGTACCATGGCAGTACCCACACACGGAAAGAGTGTTGGTGAGCTGCTGCAGCTGTGGGAGGCAACGAAGCCAAATTCATTTTGTTTTTATACGCTGACTTTTCGAAGATATTGAAACGATATTCATTCAAAGAGGTATCAGTCACAGGTGCACCATACATAGCCAAGAAAAATCGTTCCCCAGCTCGCGTTATTCGACTTTGCCCCTTCCTGGTTTCAGAAAATAAATATTCTGTTCTTGTGGAATGTGGAGCTATAGAGCAGTGAGTAGAACAAGCAAATCTATATCCTCACCTACAATCACAGCTTTTTCTTTGGATGATACTTCTATCGCTGTTGTGATGATTAGAGTATCGTAGTGGTGCCCGCGAGAGTCTCGTTTTCGAGAGTCTCGCATGGTCTCGTCTCGTTTTCGAGACAAGACTCGAGACGAGACTCGGACAAGGCGAGACGAGAGTTTCGTTGGTCTCGTCTCGAGTCTCGTGCAAGACTTCTCGTGTCTCGTGCGAGAGTCTCGCAGGTAAATATTTCTGCGTGCCGACTGCAAACTTGAGAATTTCATTCATAATAAAACATATTTAAGAAGAATGCTATAAGAAAACATCGGAATCACCTTAATAATGAATCTGCACGATGTTTGTTATGTCTTAACGACTGGGTGAAAAACAAAAACATTTGCGATTGTGAAGACTGATCTGCCTGATAAAGGTTTTTTTACTCCAAGCGGCAGGAATAGTGGCCGGCAGGAATAGTGGCTTTTTCCTGCCGCTTAACAGGCAGAAAAGGTGTACTTTTTCTGCCTAGGCAGAAAAAGTTTGTTGCTATGCAACGTTCCAAGAAATTCTAATGAAATTTGTAATCAAAATTGACACTGACATATGGTGAACACAAAATGATGGAGTTTTCAATAAAAAAATCACACAAAATTGGTTTTATATCATTTGGAGGAGAAATTCTATGTTTCACACGGCAGAAAATGTAGATTGACTACTTTTCTGCCTAGTAAAACAAATAACTATTTTCTTAAATACCTATTTTATCAAATAAGTAAAATAATGTTAGATTAAAGTTTTTGTTTTGTTTATTTGTTTAGAATATTCGTGTTACTTTTTATTTCATTTTCATAACTTTCGAAAAAATAATGTTATGTTTTTTTTTCCTGTTTAGATGTCTGATGTAAGTATGTACCTATTAGATAATTACTTTTCCATAAACCATGTTATTTTTGTTGTAATTTTCTCTTTCTTCTTCTTCATTATACCTAGAAAGTAGGCAAAGGTAACTATCCCGTACTAGACTGAAACAAGATTATGCATGACGAATTTGCGATACTTTTGCGAGACTCTCGTACGAGACGCGAGACAAGACGAGACTCGGGGCTGCGAGACGAGACTCGAGACAAGACTTCATATTCCATCGGCGAGACGAGACGAGACTTTATGAAAGTCTCGTCTCGTTGGTCTCGAGTGAATCACTAGAGTATCGGGATCATCTTTGGCATGTTTGATAGTGAATCCTCCAGCCTCGAATCTCTTTGATAACATCGAAATCAATCGAGTTTTATACTTTTCATTGCCCAGATTTTTTTCTTGTGAGACAGTGGCAGCAATTGTCTCATCGAAGAGTATATCTACGCTAGTATTTTTCGCAGACCGCAAGCATTGTTCCGCTGTTTTAGTGCTTGAAGCGTTGCTGCTGTTCCTAAATATTTCTTCAAATTGTTCACGTATGTTAGGCAAATTGATTGACATGTCTGATTTTGATGCAAAATGACACGGTGCACGAGATACCCACCGTCTATTACATATCTGCCATCTTCCGCGTACCTGATTCGTTGAATAAAGATGCCAGTTCGTATTCAAGATAACCGGATAATTGTTCATAATCTTTTTTAGCAATGATGATTCTTTGGAATAGCATCAGAGGATCAACTGGTACTATCACGTCGATGATTTTAATAGCAGAGTTGAGAGTTGCTAGAGGACGTCTCCGAAATTGTTTCCTATTATTTTCTTAATACCGTGTGTACACCATTTTCAAGAGCATTGTAGCAATCGATAGTACTATCTCCAACAACTCCGGTACTTATTGAGAAAATTTTATCTGAATTTGGAGAAGGATCATGAGAAGATCATCTCGTTTTTTTCGTGAGTCCTTTAAATCGGCATGCTGTTCGCCACTAATGAAAGATACATCGCAAAATTGTTCTAACCTGTCACAGATGTCCAGAAGAGCAGGCATTGCCAGAGTCCATTTGCCAAGAATAATGTTTTTGAAGCCTCAACATGTTAGACCACCGGTGGATTTCATGCTTCTCATCAAAGTTTGCTCAATAACCATGTCTGACCAAGTTCCAGACCAAAATTTGTCGGTTCGTCTGATTGTAAAAAATCAACAAATTTACGGTATTCTTCAATATCCATATGATTTTTCAAATGTAGCATATCTTGAAGATAGAGATGGCATGCTTTAGCGTGAAGGATGTGGCCAGCATGAAAAAAAGGCAGCATATTTTGTATATGACCTGCAAATGAGTTGTTGGAAGTAGTGGAAGTGCAAGTGCAAGTGCAGACATGTGCACACGTGTCAGGACTTTATGACCTTATTGACCCCTCTTCTTTTCCTCTCCTTGTGTCGTCACAGAGTAGGCAGAAGTATTCGTATAGGACAAATCATTCAAGTTTATTTAATGGAACATTGTAATTCCGAAAATTTTCGTAAAATGGAGAATAATGAACATCATTTATATATTCATTGGTGATTTGACACAAAAGTATCGATAATATAAAAAAAGTTAATGAGACCTTTTTCATAGAGAATTTGAAGATCTTGAATTTTTATCATAACCTTTGATACGATAGGATGGACGGTTACGGAAATATGATGGAAAAACTGAATCAGTGTACCTTTTTTCCAAGATGGCGGACCGAGCCGTGCTGATACTGGTCCGGACTTTGAGAACAGTCAATAGTGAGCCAAGATGAAGGTCTCCACCAATTTTTAGATTTTTATCAATTATTTTTTCTATTCAGGCTAATTGGATCTTATTTGATTGGCCAGTTATTAGGCGAGAGTTATAATAATTCTCTGTTCATTGACCCAAAATGTGTATGCCTGTCATCGTCGCTAGTTCACTGAAAACATCTAGAGCTCATGTCTTTCAATAGAACATTCGTCAAAATGGACAATTTCAAGTTTAGGGAGTACTACACCGAGACCTAGAAAGAACTTTAATTTCCAACAACCTAGGAGCTAGGATGAAATAAGAAGATGAAAGGCTGTGTCATTGTCGTTCTAAATGGAAACCTATAGTCAGTAGGCGAAAGGTATGTTATTGTCTGTTTATTGACCCAACATGTATGCCTGTCAATGGCGCTAGTTTATTGAAGACATCGAGAGCTCATTAGTTTAAAAAATATATATGTCGAAATGGACAATTTCAAGTTTGAGGGGTACTACACCGAGACCTAGAAAGAACTTCAATTTCCAACAACCTAGGAGCTAGGATGAATTAAGAAGATGAAAGGCTGTGTCATTGTCGTTCTAAATGGAAACCTATAGTCAGTAGGCGAGAGGTACGTTATTGTCTGTTAATTGACCCAACATTTGTATGCCTGTCAATGGCGCTAGTTTATTGAAGACATCGAGAGCTCATTAGTTTCAAAAAATATATGTGTGTATATTTTCTCAATATAATAGTAGATAAGCAGTTTCTAATTTTTTATTCTTAGTTTGCATGCCATCATTTCGATAAAGTGCGAACAGTCATGTTTCATCACAGCACTGATGAATTTCCAGTTCCTACTCAAATTCAAATGACTCGAGAATTTTATCATTGCTTAAACAACAGTTTCTTCTTTATCTTTATACAATAATTCAAGATGGCGCTCGGCCACCAATTCAAGACTTTGAGCTGTTATTTTTCCATGAAAAAGGAGGTTTTCATTCTCTATTTGGGACTTCCAAATTTTGTTCAAAAATGTGTAAGAGGAGTACCGAATTTGGACAGGTTCTGTATA